ACAGAACCAGTGTTGGTGCTACCCAAGCGAGACCAACCGTTCGTCCTGTACACTAATTGGAGTAGCCTGGGTATCGAAGCGATCCTTTGCCAAGACACGGAACAGGGAGAAAGGGTGGTAGCCTTTGCGATCAGGAGCTGTAGCCCCACTGAGGTGAACAACAGCTCCTATGAGGGAGAAGGCTTGGCGGCGATCTGGGCGGTCAACCATTTCAGGGTGTACCTACAGGGAAATCCCTTCACCCTCGTCACAGATCATCAGCCCCTCACATGGCTGATGACGAACCAGACCCTCACGGGAAGGAACGCCAGGTGGACCATGCAGCTTCAAGAGTACGACTTCAAAATCCGTCACCGCCCGGGGAAGACCCTGCAACATGTGGACGGACTATCAAGAAATCCGCCACCAGTGGAGGAGGAGAGTGGTGTCAGAGGTCCACTGGTGATCCCCAATTGATCCTAGGAAAGGGTTACAAGCTCGTTGTCTTGGGGGGTTATGGGCGCACTGACCCGCTACTTAACAAGCCCTTTTATCCCAATGGTCTAGTGGTTGGGATTCTGACATGGTATCAGAGCAAAGGTCTCGGGTTCGAATCCCAGTGTGTGCACTTCGGGCATCCCAGTGCGGGGGGGTGTCAGAGGTCCACTGGTGATCCCCGATTGATCCTAGGAAAGGGTTATAAGCTCGTTGTCCTGGGGGGTTATGGGCGCACTGGCCCGCTACTTAACAAGCCCTTTTATCCCAATGGTCTAGTGGTTGGGATTCTGACAAGTGGGTCACCAGCAGCGTGCCTAGTGGCGTTGGCAGGGGGCAGACGGGAGACTGATGTGGTGAGGCACAAAGGAAAAGGGCCGGAAGACGTCTCGAGGGACGCAAAGGCACTCCGCTGGGTGAAGGGAGGAGGGATGGGGGCGGAAGAAGACGTCAGCGACAGGGCAAGGGCTCGCGGACAGCATTACCGCTGGTATCAGTAGCAGCTGCAGGTGCATAGCAAGGAGGGTTAGAAGATGGTGCCCGCACCAGAGGAGAGCAAGGCGCTGATTGAGAAATTACATAACCAGCTGGGGCATTACGGGCACGTCAAGACAGCACAGCTGGTCACGACGACCTGGTGGTGGGCATGCTTGCACAGACAAGTGAAAGAGGTGGTGGCCGAATGTGAGCTATGCAGTCGCAACAAGGCACAGCTGGAATAGGAGCAGCAAGAACTGCAATCACTGCCCATCATGGAACTCGGCTACAGGTGGTCCCTAGACCTGGCGGGAGAGATGCCCCTGAGCAGGAAGAACAAACACTATGTGCTAGTGATGATAGAACACGTGTCCAAGTGGGTGGAGGTGCAGGCCCTGAGCAGCAAGAGCGCAGAGCTAGTCGCGGAAGCCTTCACGAACCAAGTGCTGACGCGATTTGGCGCATGTGCGGAGGTGCTAACGGACCAGGGGACCGAATTCAAAGGAGCCTCTGACAAGTTGCTGGCAGAAGTGGGCATCAAGCACCGCCGCACCTCACGGTACCACCCGCAGTCAGACGGATTGACAGAGCGCATGGTGCAGACTATAAATAAAGGACTGCGGGCGTACGGGGAGGAGCACAAGCGCGACTGGGACCAAGAACTGCACTAGGTGGTGGCAGGTTACAGGTTCAGCAAGCAGGCGGCGCTGAGGGACTATTCTCCATACTACTTGTAATACGGGAAGCAACCAATGCTGCCAGTAAATGCACCAAAGATACTAACTGACGTGGTGAAGGCAGGCACACCAGAGAATTGGGCAGCCCTGGCAGATTGCAGGGCCAAGTACCTGAAGAAGCTGATGCCAGCCGCATTGGAGAATCGGCATACAGCGCAGTTGAGGGACGCCAAGAGGTATCAACAGAGGCAGCTGCGACCGAGACAGGTAAAGGAAAAGTCGTGGAGGATGGGGATGGAGTATACATCCGAAAGGCAAAGAAGGATGTGCTGGACCTGGGTCTCTCGACTGGGCGATGGATAGTGAAGGAAGTCAAGCCCTCCGAAGTACTCGTGCTAGAATCTGAAGGAGTCCAGAAGAGGAACGATCACATCACCAATGTGGTAAGGGCGATAGGGACGAAAGCAGGTGTAATTCCTCACGACCAGCAGCAGGAGCAGAGCCGGTCGCGGAAGGGGGCAAGTGGCTAGAGCACAGGAACATGCAAGGGGAAGGGGCCAAGCGACAGGCAGTAAGTGAGGCTCCGGGACAGAAACGGGAACCTGAGAACAAGAAGGGACCAGCACGGAGGAGAAAAGGGGAATGGAGTAAGAGGAGGAAGGGGAGAAGAAGGAGGTGTGGCCTATGGCATCCGACACTATTCACCCACGGATACCACAGCGACCCATTTTTCACGACTAGGAATTCACAGCAGCTGACAGACGCAAAGGGAGTTTATTACGTTAAAACAGGCACCAACCACATCTGGGTACCCATGTACTCACTAGAAAAAACGCGTCAGCAATTGCAGCGGTATTACTACTCGCCGGAGCTGTTGACCGACGTACAGCACCACATGGGATCGTGTCCTACGTGTCAGGTGATGAAAAGCTCGCGCAAGAAAAAAGGGTCAGTTGCAGCCGATTCCACCGCCGGAGCGAGCTTGGCAGCAGGTTACCATGGATTTCGTCACAAGGCTACCTTCGAGCACCGGGGGTAACGACGCGGTTATCGTCGTCGTTTACAGACTGACGAAAATGGCTCACTTCGCTACGTACAGAAAATCGATCACAGCCAAAAAAACCGCTCGCATGTTCATCACGACCATCGTTCGACTGCACTGGATACCAGCCGTGATTATCAGCGACCGCGATACGAAGTTTACAAACAACTTCTGGAAGAACCTCTGGGAGCAGTTCGGGACCCGGCTACAGTTCAGCTCGTCGTACCACCCCAAGACCGACGGTCAGACGGAGCGGACGAACCAGACCATGGAGCAGCTGATTCGTGCCACGAACGACGACCCGACAACATGGGAGCAGCAGTTGCCGCTGATCGAGTTCGCATACAACAATGCCACGTTAGCAACGACGTAGCAGTCCCCGTTTTACCTGAACTACGGGCAAAATCCAACAGTGCCCATGACGCCGAGTCCAAACAACCCAACGCCACGCGCTCAACAGTTCGCCGAGATACAGCAGGCTACCCGAACACGAGCAGCAGACGCAATTAAAGAAGCCAACGTCATCGTGAAGAGAAATGCTGACCACCACCGCCGCCCAGTAGATTACCAGCTAGGAGATTACATACTGCTCGATACACAAAATTTAAGACTGGCCGTTGTACCGAAACTTTGACCGCGATACTGTGGACCGTTCCAAATTAGCCACATGATCACCCTAGTTACCGCCCATCTACTGTTGCCGACCGATTGGTACATCAGCCCATCATTTCACGTCAGCCTGTTTCGCCCATACATCCCAACCACAAGCCAACTGCCACGCCATCGCCCACCGTCCATGACTCGTCCTGCATCGGAGCCAATCGTCGAGCCCGAGAAGATTTTGAGCCATCGGATTCGTCACCCCACATGCATCAAGAGGATCGAGTTCCTCGTTCGCTGGAAGGACCGCACGCCAACGGAAGATAGCTGGGTGCCCCTGGCCAACATCGAAAAACACCCTGCCCTGCAAGTGTACCTGAGGAGCCGGGTTTTCCGCGATATACACGCACTCGCGTAGCAGAGAGGGCTTCTTGAGGGGGGGGGGGTAGTGTAAGGATTTTTTCGGCATTCCTTACCGCGTTCTCGAACATTGCGTATAGCAGCAACCGTTGTTCGCCCATTGCTGCTAACGGGGCTTCGCCAGCATTCGCGCGCACTATTCACCAAACCATGCACAGCTGGCCCGGCCGTGTCGGCCTACGCTTCGGGACTAGCTCGAACCTCAATGCTAGCCTAGCAATAGCTAGCTCGCACGCCCCGCGTAACCATTGCATGTGTTTCGCACATACCGTATTCTCCCGGACAAAACACCCCCCCGTAATTGTACACCCCCGGGTAGCTTGTGCGGGGTGGGTGTTATGATAGACCTCGTTTCTACTATACCCCCCTTTTTTGCTGATTTTCTATAACACCCCCCTTTTCTTACGAATTCGTTATAATAGTCGTTAACGAGTACCTGCAATATTGAAGAATATCGCGAAAATTTCTCCCTATATGAAATTTCGCGGTACATTAACTTACAATCTACCGAGATTTCCCCCCTCGCACTACTTCGCTGTGACCAAGTGCAGGCGAATCTTCCGCTGCAAGTGGCAAGACAGGTGCCACATGGCATTTTCGTGGGGGTGATGAAGCTCGTGGCCGAAACCCACATTCGCGCCTCAGACAGTGATGTTAAAATGAAAATCAAAACACCCACATTATCTAATTAAATAAACAATAACACTAAAATATACCATATGTAAAGACCCGGGTATTATGTATTTTTTTCCTATGAGGAGACCCCCCCCCATTTTTTCCCTGTATTTTTAGCTACACCCTAGGGTGCTATGTCCGGGAGAATACGGTAAGTATTCGCTCATGCCTTCGCTCATAATTTGTAATCTTTTTACAACCTAGTGCAATCCTCGCTATCTCGTTCCGTTGCACCCGTAACAGTAGGCATATTATGGCTGTGTTTCTGATTCATGGCTGCATAAATGTCGTTTAAGGGAAACTTTTTTGTTGGAACTCGAACTGGCAAACTAGAAACCTTAGCGAAGCCTGTCTTAGTGAAGCGTTTTCTGATCGAAACATCAGGGGTTGCTCAGTTCTGGATACCCGTCAGCTTCGCGCTGCCCGATACCCCGCCCCCTGCCCCGAATCGTGTTGCCCACTGCCTCGCGCCCTGCTCCGGTTCTCGCTGCCCGCTGCCCGCTGCCCGCTTCCCCGCCGCCTCCACTGCCTCTAGTACCGCTACCTCTCGCCCCGCCACACGCGCGTCGTCCGCCCGTTTTCCATCGGTAGGCGCTGCCGCCACCTTGCGCCCATACTTCCAGATCCGATTCAAAATGACGTCATCAGCGATCGGCAAGTGCGCCAGTGACGTCAGCGGCCCTCTGCTGCGCGGGAAGCTGCTCCCCTGGGCTGCCGCCGCCTTGTTTTCCGCCACCTCCCGCGCGTTCTCCTCCGCCAGCAGCAGCGCCGGGCATTGCGCGCAAGCTGGGGGCGCGGGTGAGGGGGCAAGCGCGGCGGAAGGATCCGGCAGAGGGGGGAACCTCGCGGCGATCAAGGAGCTCCGCGCGCGCACGGGCGCGCCGGTGAAGGACGTGAAGGCGGCGCTGGTGGCGGCCGGGTGGGATCTGGGTGAGGCGTTGCTGTAGCGATGCGGTACTCTAGCGAGTCGGTACCGTAGCGAGGCTGTACTGTAGGGAGGCGGTACTGTAGCGAGGATGTACTGTAGGGAGGCGGTACTGTAGCAAGGCTGTACTGTCGCGAACGGCTACCTACATTCTCCACCGGTACAAGCAGCGGTGCTGGTGGGGGTGGGATGTGCGCGAGGTGCTGTTAGGTGGCAGCAGAGGGGCTTCTGGGGGAGCGGGAGGGACTGAACCACTCAACCACCACGTTTCTCCGCCCACTCCCCCCTCCTCCCCTTTCCTCCCACCTCCTCCCCCCTTCTCCCCCATCCTCCACTCTCCCCTCTCTCCGCCCTCTCCCCAGACGCGGCATTTCCTCCCTCCTCGCCCCAGAGGAAGGGGGGGCAGGCAGCGGCGCGGAAGAAGCGGGCGCGGGTAGCAGCGGAGGGGCTGGTGGGCTGAAGTGACTACTCATATACCACCTTTTTTTCCCCTTCCTTTCTTTCCCCTTTCCTCACCTTCTTTCCTCTTGTCTCCCCACTCCCCCCCAGATGCGGCATTCACAGAGCTCAGGAGGAGGGGGCTGGCAGCGGCGCAAAAGAAGGGGGCGCGGGTGGCAACAGAGGGGCTGGTGGGCGGGAGTGACTCCAAAACCACCTTTCCCCTCCTTCCCCAATCCCCCCCTCCCTTTCACTTCACCTCTCCTTCACCCCCAGATGCGGCGTTCACATAGCTTGGCGGGGGGCGGCTGGCAGCAGCGCAGAAGACAACCTAACCACCACTTTTCTCCCCCCACTGCCCCATCGTAACCCCATTCCACCCCAGATGCGGCGTTCACAGAGCTGAGGCGGCGGGGGCTGGCAGCGGCGCAAAAGAAGCGGGCGCGGGTGGCAGCAGAGGGGCTGGTGGGCGTGGCGGTACAGCGGGGCGTGGGGGCGGTGGCAGTGGAGGTGAACAGCGAGACGGACTTCGTTGCACGCAACGACCTTTTACAGCTGCTCGTGAGTGTCTTCAGTCTTCTCAAAACAAACGAACAAGTGCGCGCCGGTGGCAGCGGCAGGGCGTGGGGGCGGAGGCGGTGGAGGTGAACAGTGAGACGGACTTTGTTGCTCGCAATGACCTCCTCCAACTGCTTGTGAGCGCTTCTTTGCTTGTGAGCGCTTCTTTGCTTGTGAGCGCTTCTTGCAGGGGTTGTGTATTAACATTAACCTTAAACCCTGAACCTTGAACCCTGAACTCTGAGCCGTGAAGCCCATGAGGCTTTCGGTTTGTGGCTGTACTGGAAGTGGAGGTCAATGTGCAGGGGAGTTAGTGGAGGTCAATGTGCAGGGGAGTTAGTGGAGGTCAATGTGCAGGGGAGTTAGTGGAGGTCAATGTGCAGGGGAGTTAGTGGAGGTCAATGTGCAGGGGAGTTAGTGGAGGTCAATGTGCAGGGGAGTTAGTGGAGGTTCAGTCGTTGACCTGTAAGTTGACCTGCAAGGTGGGCTTTAAGACGACGACTGCAGTGAGAGAGGAAGCGGGGAGCGATCCGACAAAAAGCAGAAACCGAAGGAGTGAAATAGTTCTCTTCAATTGCTGGCGAGTGTGTCATTGTATCACCGCCACACGGACGAGCTCAGGTCAGAGGGCTGAGAGGGCTGAGAGGGCTGAGAGGGCTGAGAGGCCTCTAAGTATACCCTGTCTGTCGCCCATGGGCTCTTCTTCCGCTGCCCCCACACCTCTCCACCGTCTCACATCACATCCCATCCCTCCAATCACTCACCCCACCTCTCATCCTCCTCTCTCTTTCCTCTCTCCCTCCCCTCTCCTTCCCCTCGTTCCCTCCCTGCAGGTTTCCAAGGCTGCAGCCGCAGCGTTGAGCCTTTCCCCCTCCTCCTCCTCGTCCTCCACGCACTCCTCACTTCCTCTCCCTCTTCCTCTGGCGAACCTTGAGGTGAGAGTGGCAGTAGTTAGCATGGCATCAAATGGCAGGATAGTAGTTAGCATGGCATCAAATGGCAGGATAGTAGTTTGCATGGCATCAAATGGCAGGATAGTAGTTAGCATGGCATCAAATGGCAGGATAGTAGTTTGCATGGCATCAAATGGCAGGATAGTAGTTTGCATGGCATCAAATGGCAGGATAGTAGTTAGCATGGCATCAAATGGCAGGATAGTAGTTTGCATGGCATCAAATGGCAGGATAGTAGTTTGCATGGCATCAAATGGCAGGATAGTAGTTAGCATGGCATCAAATGGCAGGATAGTAGTTTGCATGGCATCAAATGGCAGGATAGTAGTTTGCATGGCATCAAATGGCAGGATAGTAGTTTGCATGGCATCAAATGGCAGGATAGTAGTTTGCATGGCATCAAATGGCAGGATAGTAGTTTGCATGGCATCAAATGGCAGGATAGTAGTTTGCATGGCATCAAATGGCAGGATAGTAGTTTGCATGGCATCAAATGGCAGGATAGTAGTTTGCATGGCATCAAATGGCAGGATAGTAGTTTGCATGGCATCAAATGGCAGGATAGTAGTTAGCATGGCATCAAATGGCAGGATAGTAGTTTGCATGGCATCAAATGGCAGGATAGTAGTTTGCATGGCATCAAATGGCAGGATAGTAGTTTGCATGGCATCAAATGGCAGGATAGTAGTTTGCATGGCATCAAATGGCAGGATAGTAGTTTGCATGGCATCAAATGGCAGGATAGTAGTTTGCATGGCATCAAATGGCAGGATAGTAGTTTGCATGGCATCAAATGGCAGGATAGTAGTTTGCATGGCATCAAATGGCAGGATAGTAGTTTGCATGGCATCAAATGGCAGGATAGTAGTTAGCATGGCATCAAATGGCAGGATAGTAGTTTGCATGGCATCAAATGGCAGGATAGTAGTTTGCATGGCATCAAATGGCAGGATGGTAGTTTGCATGGCATCAAATGGCAGGATAGTAGTTTGCATGGCATCAAATGGCAGGATAGTAGTTTGCATGGCATCAAATGGCAGGATAGTAGTTTGCATGGCATCAAATGGCAGGATAGTAGTTTGCATGGCATCAAATGGCAGGATAGTAGTTTGCATGGCATCAAATGGCAGGATAGTAGTTTGCATGGCATCAAATGGCAGGATAGTAGTTAGCATGGCATCAAATGGCAGGATAGTAGTTTGCATGGCATCGAATGGCAGGATATTAGTTTGCATGGCATCAAATGGCAGGATAGTAGTTAGCATGGCATCAAATGGCAGGATAGTAGTTAGCATGGCATCAAATGGCAGGATAGTAGTTTGCATGGCATCAAATGGCAGGATAGTAGTTTGCATGGCATCAAATGGCAGGATAGTAGTTTGCATGGCATCAAATGGCAGGATAGTAGTTTGCATGGCATCAAATGGCAGGATAGTAGTTTGCATGGCATCAAATGGCAGGATAGTAGTTTGCATGGCATCAAATGGCAGGATAGTAGTTTGCATGGCATCAAATGGCAGGATAGTAGTTTGCATGGCATCAAATGGCAGGATAGTAGTTTGCATGGCATCAAATGGCAGGATAGTAGTTTGCATGGCATCAAATGGCAGGATAGTAGTTTGCATGGCATCAAATGGCAGGATAGTAGTTTGCATGGCATCAAATGGCAGGATAGTAGTTTGCATGGCATCAAATGGCAGGATAGTAGTTTGCATGGCATCAAATGGCAGGACAGTAGTTTGCATGGCATCAAATGGCAGGATGGTAGTTTGCATGGCATCAAATGGCAGGATAGTAGTTTGCATGGCATCAAATGGCAGGATAGTAGTTTGCATGGCATCAAATGGCAGGATAGTAGTTTGCATGGCATCAAATGGCAGGATAGTAGTTTGCATGGCATCAAATGGCAGGATAGTAGTTTGCATGGCATCAAATGGCAGGATAGTAGTTTGCATGGCATCAAATGGCAGGATAGTAGTTAGCATGGCATCAAATGGCAGGATAGTAGTTTGCATGGCATCGAATGGCAGGATATTAGTTTGCATGGCATCAAATGGCAGGATAGTAGTTAGCATGGCATCAAATGGCAGGATAGTAGTTAGCATGGCATCAAATGGCGGGATAGTAGTTTGCATGGCATCAAATGGCAGGATAGTAGTTTGCATGGCATCAAATGGCAGGATAGTAGTTTGCATGGCATCAAATGGCAGGATAGTAGTTTGCATGGCATCAAATGGCAGGATAGTAGTTTGCATGGCATCAAATGGCAGGATAGTAGTTTGCATGGCATCAAATGGCAGGATAGTAGTTTGCATGGCATCAAATGGCAGGATAGTAGTTTGCATGGCATCAAATGGCAGGATAGTAGTTTGCATGGCATCAAATGGCAGGATAGTAGTTAGCATGGCATCAAATGGCAGGATAGTAGTTAGCATGGCATCAAATGGCAGGATAGTAGTTTCCATGGCATCAAATGGCAGGATAGTAGTTAGCATGGCATCAAATGGCAGGATAGTAGTTTGCATGGCATCAAATGGCAGGATAGTAGTTTGCATGGCATCAAATGGCAGGATAGTAGTTTGCATGGCATCAATTGGCAGGATAGTAGTTAGCATGGCATCAAATGGCAGGATAGTAGTTAGCATGGCATCAAATGGCAGGATAGTAGTTTGCATGGCATCAAATGGCAGGATAGTAGTTTGCATGGCATCAAATGGCAGGATAGTAGTTTGCATGGCATCAAATGGCAGGATAGTAGTTTGCATGGCATCAAATGGCAGGATAGTAGTTTGCATGGCATCAAATGGCAGGATAGTAGTTTGCATGGCATCAAATGGCAGGATAGTAGTTTGCATGGCATCAAATGGCAGGATAGTAGTTAGCATGGCATCAAATGGCAGGATAGTAGTTAGCATGGCATCAAATGGCAGGATAGTAGTTTGCATGGCATCAAATGGCAGGATAGTAGTTTGCATGGCATCAAATGGCAGGATAGTAGTTTGCATGGCATCAAATGGCAGGATAGTAGTTTGCATGGCATCAAATGGCAGGATAGTAGTTTGCATGGCATCAAATGGCAGGATAGTAGTTAGCATGGCATCAAATGGCAGGATAGTAGTTTGCATGGCATCAAATGGCAGGATAGTAGTTTGCATGGCATCAAATGGCAGGATAGTAGTTTGCATGGCATCAAATGGCAGGATAGTAGTTTGCATGGCATCAAATGGCAGGATAGTAGTTAGCATGGCATCAAATGGCAGGATAGTAGTTTGCATGGCATCAAATGGCAGGATAGTAGTTTGCATGGCATCAAATGGCAGGATAGTAGTTTGCATGGCATCAAATGGCAGGATAGTAGTTTGCATGGCATCAAATGGCAGGATAGTAGTTTGCATGGCATCAAATGGCAGGATGGTAGTTTGCATGGCATCAAATGGCAGGATAGTAGTTTGCATGGCATCAAATGGCAGGATAGTAGTTTGCATGGCATCAAATGGCAGGATAGTAGTTTGCATGGCATCAAATGGCAGGATAGTAGTTTGCATGGCATCAAATGGCAGGATAGTAGTTTGCATGGCATCAAATGGCAGGATAGTAGTTTGCATGGCATCAAATGGCAGGATAGTAGTTAGCATGGCATCAAATGGCAGGATAGTAGTTTGCATGGCATCGAATGGCAGGATATTAGTTTGCATGGCATCAAATGGCAGGATAGTAGTTAGCATGGCATCAAATGGCAGGATAGTAGTTAGCATGGCATCAAATGGCAGGATAGTAGTTTGCATGGCATCAAATGGCAGGATAGTAGTTTGCATGGCATCAAATGGCAGGATAGTAGTTTGCATGGCATCAAATGGCAGGATAGTAGTTTGCATGGCATCAAATGGCAGGATAGTAGTTTGCATGGCATCAAATGGCAGGATAGTAGTTTGCATGGCATCAAATGGCAGGATAGTAGTTTGCATGGCATCAAATGGCAGGATAGTAGTTTGCATGGCATCAAATGGCAGGATAGTAGTTTGCATGGCATCAAATGGCAGGATAGTAGTTTGCATGGCATCAAATGGCAGGATAGTAGTTTGCATGGCATCAAATGGCAGGATAGTAGTTTGCATGGCATCAAATGGCAGGATAGTAGTTTGCATGGCATCAAATGGCAGGATAGTAGTTTGCATGGCATCAAATGGCAGGATAGTAGTTTGCATGGCATCAAATGGCAGGATAGTAGTTAGCATGGCATCAAATGGCAGGATAGTAGTTTGCATGGCATCAAATGGCAGGATAGTAGTTTGCATGGCATCAAATGGCAGGATAGTAGTTTGCATGGCATCAAATGGCAGGATAGTAGTTTGCATGGCATCAAATGGCAGGATAGTAGTTTGCATGGCATCAAATGGCAGGATAGTAGTTTGCATGGCATCAAATGGCAGGATAGTAGTTTGCATGGCATCAAATGGCAGGATAGTAGTTAGCATGGCATCAAATGGCAGGATAGTAGTTTGCATGGCATCAAATGGCAGGATAGTAGTTTGCATGGCATCAAATGGCAGGATAGTAGTTTGCATGGCATCAAATGGCAGGATAGTAGTTTGCATGGCATCAAATGGCAGGATAGTAGTTTGCATGGCATCAAATGGCAGGATAGTAGTTTGCATGGCATCAAATGGCAGGATAGTAGTTAGCATGGCATCAAATGGCAGGATAGTAGTTAGCATGGCATCAAATGGCAGGATAGTAGTTTGCATGGCATCAAATGGCAGGATAGTAGTTTGCATGGCATCAAATGGCAGGATAGTAGTTAGCATGGCATCAAATGGCAGGATAGTAGTTTGCATGGCATCAAATGGCAGGATGGTAGTTTGCATGGCATCAAATGGCAGGATAGTAGTTTGCATGGCATCAAATGGCAGGATAGTAGTTTGCATGGCATCAAATGGCAGGATAGTAGTTTGCATGGCATCAAATGGCAGGATAGTAGTTTGCATGGCATCAAATGGCAGGATAGTAGTTTGCATGGCATCAAATGGCAGGATAGTAGTTTGCATGGCATCAAATGGCAGGATAGTAGTTAGCATGACATCAAATGGCAGGATAGTAGTTTGCATGGCATCGAATGGCAGGATATTAGTTTGCATGGCATCAAATGGCAGGATAGTAGTTAGCATGGCATCAAATGGCAGGATAGTAGTTAGCATGGCATCAAATGGCAGGATAGTAGTTTGCATGGCATCAAATGGCAGGATAGTAGTTTGCATGGCATCAAATGGCAGGATAGTAGTTTGCATGGCATCAAATGGCAGGATAGTAGTTTGCATGGCATCAAATGGCAGGATAGTAGTTTGCATGGCATCAAATGGCAGGATAGTAGTTTGCATGGCATCAAATGGCAGGATAGTAGTTTGCATGGGATCAAATGGCAGGATAGTAGTTTGCATGGCATCAAATGGCAGGATAGTAGTTTGCATGGCATCAAATGGCAGGATAGTAGTTTGCATGGCATCAAATGGCAGGATAGTAGTTTGCATGGCATCAAATGGCAGGATAGTAGTTTGCATGGCATCAAATGGCAGGATAGTAGTTTGCATGGCATCAAATGGCAGGATAGTAGTTTGCATGGCATCAAATGGCAGGATAGTAGTTTGCATGGCATCAAATGGCAGGATAGTAGTTTGCATGGCATCAAATGGCAGGATAGTAGTTTGCATGGCATCAAATGGCAGGATAGTAGTTTGCATGGCATCAAATGGCAGGATAGTAGTTTGCATGGCATCAAATGGCAGGATAGTAGTTTGCATGGCATCAAATGGCAGGATAGTAGTTTGCATGGCATCAAATGGCAGGATAGTAGTTTGCATGGCATCAAATGGCAGGATAGTAGTTTGCATGGCATCAAATGGCAGGATAGTAGTTAGCATGGCATCAAATGGCAGGATAGTAGTTTGCATGGCATCAAATGGCAGGATAGTAGTTTGCATGGCATCAAATGGCAGGATAGTAGTTTGCATGGCATCAAATGGCAGGATAGTAGTTTGCATGGCATCAAATGGCAGGATAGTAGTTTGCATGGCATCAAATGGCAGGATAGTAGTTTGCATGGCATCAAATGGCAGGATAGTAGTTAGCATGGCATCAAATGGCAGGATAGTAGTTAGCATGGCATCAAATGGCAGGATAGTAGTTTGCATGGCATCAAATGGCAGGATAGTAGTTAGCATGGCATCAAATGGCAGGATAGTAGTTTGCATGGCATCAAATGGCAGGATAGTAGTTTGCATGGCATCAAATGGCAGGATAGTAGTTTACATGGCATCAAATGGCAGGATAGTAGTTTGCATGGCATCAAATGGCAGGATAGTAGTTTGCATGGCATCAAATGGCAGGATAGTAGTTTGCATGGCATCAAATGGCAGGATAGTAGTTAGCATGGCATCAAATGGCAGGATAGTAGTTTGCATGGCATCAAATGGCAGGATAGTAGTTAGCATGGCATCAAATGGCAGGATAGTAGTTTGCATGGCATCAAATGGCAGGATAGTAGTTTGCATGGCATCAAATGGCAGGATAGTAGTTTGCATGGCATCAAATGGCAGGATAGTAGTTAGCATGGCATCAAATGGCAGGATAGTAGTTTGCATGGCATCAAATGGCAGGATAGTAGTTTGCATGGCATCAAATGGCAGGATAGTAGTTTGCATGGCATCAAATGGCAGGATAGTAGTTTGCATGGCATCAAATGGCAGGATAGTAGTTTGCATGGCATCAAATGGCAGGATAGTAGTTTGCATGGCATCAAATGGCAGGATAGTAGTTTGCATGGCATCAAATGGCAGGATAGTAGTTTGCATGGCATCAAATGGCAGGATAGTAGTTTGCATGGCATCAAATGGCAGGATAGTAGTTTGCATGGCATCAAATGGCAGGATAGTAGTTAGCATGGCATCTAATGGCAGGATAGTAGTTTGCATGGCATCAAATGGCAGGATAGTAGTTTGCATGGCATCAAATGGCAGGATAGTAGTTAGCTTGGCATCAAATGGCAGGATAGTAGTTTGCATGGCATCAAATGGCAGGATAGTAGTTTGCATGGCATCAAATGGCAGGATAGTAGTTTGCATGGCATCAAATGGCAGGATAGTAGTTAGCATGGCATCAAATGGCAGGATAGTAGTTTGCATGGCATCAAATGGCAGGATAGTAGTTAGCATGGCATCAAATGGCAGAATAGTAGTTTGCATGGCATCAAATGGCAGGATAGTAGTTTGCATGGCATCAAATGGCAGGATAGTAGTTAGCATGGCATCAAATGGCAGGATAGTAGTTAGCATGGCATCAAATGGCTGGATAGTAGTTTGCATGGCATCAAATGGCAGGATAGTAGTTTGCATGGCATCAAATGGCAGGATAGTAGTTTGCATGGCATCAAATGGTAGGATAGTAGTTTGCATGGCATCAAATGGCAGGATAGTAGTTAGCATGGCATCAAATGGCAGGATAGTAGTTTGCATGGCATCAAATGGCAGGATAGTAGTTTGCATGGCATCAAATGGCAGGATAGTAGTTAGCATGGCATCAAATGGCAGGATAGTAGTTTGCATGGCATCAAATGGCAGGATAGCAGTTTGCATGGCATCAAATGGCAGGATAGTAGTTTGCATGGCATCAAATGGCAGGATAGTAGTTTGCATGGCATCAAATGGCAGGATAGTAGTTTGCATGGCATCAAATGGCAGGATAGTAGTTAGCATGGCATCAAATGGCAGGATAGTAGTTTGCATGGCATCAAATGGCAGGATAGTAGTTTGCATGGCATCAAATGGCAGGATAGTAGTTAGCATGGCATCAAATGGCAGGATAGTAGTTAGCATGGCATCAAATGGCAGGATAGTAGTTAGCATGGCATCAAATGGCAGGATAGTAGTTTGCATGGCATCAAATGGCAGGATAGTAGTTTGCATGGCATCAAATGGCAGGATAGTAGTTTGCATGGCATCAAATGGCAGGATAGTAGTTAGCATGGCATCAAATGGCAGGATAGTAGTTTGCATGGCATCAAATGGCAGGATAGTAGTTTGCATGGCATCAAATGGCAGGATAGTAGTTAGCTTGGCATCAAATGGCAGGATAGTAGTTTGCATGGCATCAAATGGCAGGATAGTAGTTTGCATGGCATCAAATGGCAGGATAGTAGTTTGCATGGCATCAAATGGCAGGATAGTAGTTTGCATGGTATGTGTTGGTGATTTCGCATTCCATCCACCTCTTTTTTCGAGTGGACATTCGATCCCCTTCCCTCCCATTGTCTTATGCGTATGCACCATTCCCTCCCATTGTCTTATGCGCATGCACCATTCCCTCCCATTGTCTTATGCGCATGCACCATTCCCTCCCAATGTCCCACACACAATCAAATGCACTCTCACTCGCATCTTCCCACCTGCACTCACGTCGTCCCCGTCGCCCTACACCACCTCAACCCCCCTCTCCCTCCCACCACCAGCGATCCACAGCGTGGTTTGACCACCAGAAGCAACCACAAAGCCGGCAGCTGCCAGGCAGAGGTGGTGGCCGTGTGGGCAGCATTCACTCACACCTCTAACCTAAATCCCCTCTCCACCCCTTCCTGCGCCTCGTTCCCTCCCACCACCAGCTTGCTAAAGTGTGGTTCGACCACCACTATCACAAAGAGGGCAGCTGACAGGCAGAGGTGGTGGCTGTGCTGTGCTGGTGGGATTCACACCTCCCAACTAATTCCCCTTTGCATCCCTGCCCCCCTTTCCCTCGCACCACCAGCAAGCCACTGTGTCATTTGACCACCCGAAGCTGTCGGGAAGCCAGCAATTGGCGGCATTCACGACCTGCACCTACATGCCCTCCCCACCCCTGTCCCCCACACTCACTCCCTCGCACCACCAGCAAACCACTGTGTCATTTGACCATCCAAAACTGTCGGGAAGTCGCCAGCTGGCAGAGGCGGTGGCTGAGGTGGCAGCGCTCACGGGGGAGAACGTGCGCCTGCGCCGAGCCTTCCTGCTTCCCGAGCCTCGGCCGACTGGCTCGGTGGCCACATACCTGCACAGCAGCCCCGGGGCTGGCTTGGGGCGGATAGCCAGTCTTGTCTCCCTCTCTCTTTCTCAACCATCTGGTAACAGCAGCAGCAGCAGCAGCAGCAGCGGGGGAGGGAGCAGAGAAGAAACCGTATCAGAGGCAGCAGCAGCGGAGGATGCAGGAGGAGGGGGGGAAGGAGCGGCAGAGGCAGCAGCGGCGGTGGGGGAAGGAGTGGCGATGCATGTGGTGGCGATGAGGCCGCTGTACTTGAGGCGAGAGGACGTGCCAGGGGAGGTGGTGGAGAAGGAGAGTGATGTGCTGCGAGCCCAGGTCAGAGTGGGTCAATTCTAGTGAACAGGTGGGTCAACGCGAGTCAACGGGTTTGTCAACGCGAGTCAACAGGTGGGTCAACACTAGTAAACAACAGGTGGGTCAACACTAGTAAACAACAGGTGGGTCAACACTAGTAAACAACAGGTGGGTCAATGGGAGTCAACAGGTGGGTCAACGCTAGTCAACTGGTGGGTCAACGCTTGTGCAAATGGTCAGCTCCAAATCTCCTCTCCCTCTGTCGGGCCATCCCGTGCCCCCACCCCTCTTGCCATTCAGGCCACAGAAGAAAGCAAGAGGAGCAGCACAGTGGGGAATTTAGCAACGTGGTGCCTGAATGCTTGCCAGTGGCAGCCTTTTGAGGCTCCTCTAGTTCTCTCTCTACTTCCATGCACGCTTTATAGGCTAGGCTCCTCTGTTTCTCTCTCCCCGCCCACCTGCACAGGCAGTGGCAGCGGGCAAGCCAGCGGGTGTGGTGGGGAAGATGGTGGCATGGAGGCAGAGGGCTTGCTACTGGCAGGCATTTAACGCTCCTCTTTTCTCTTTCCTCCCTCTCTCACTTCTTGCACAGGCAGTGGCAGCGAGCAAGCCAGCGGGTGTGGTGGGGAAGATGGTGGCATGGAGGCAGAGGGTTTGCCACTGGCAGGCTTTTTGAGGTTCCGCGTTTATTCTTCATCTCTCTCCCCTCCCGTGCACGTGGTGCCAGCGGGCAAGCCAGCAGGCTTGTGGCAGGCGACGGTGACGGGGTGGCTTATTGCTGGCTAGTGGCAGCCTGTTGACACCCCGCTTTTTCTCTTCCTCTTCCTCCCTCTCCCCGCCCGCCCACACAGGCTGTGGCAGCGGGCAAGGCAGCAAGCGTGGTGGAGAAGATGGTGGCGGGGCGGCTGGGGAAGTTCTATGGGGAGGTGGTGTTGATGGAGCAGGCGTATGCCATGGATGATAAGAGAACAGTGCAGGTGGGTGCTGAGTGGTCGGTGTGTGGAATGAGCAGGTTGTACATACGGGGAGGTGCTGCTGGAGCAGGCTTATGCGCTGCGCTGGATGACAAGAGAACGGTGCAGGTGAGAACATGCATGCCACCCATGGGGACATGCATGCAGCCCATGGGGACATGCATGCAGCCCATGGGGACATGCATGCAGCCCATGGGGACATGCATTCAGCCCATAATTGTTGTTGCTACACCGCCTCCCCACGCCCTTCTCCCCACACCCTTCTCCCCGCGCCCTTCTCCTCGAAATTCTTCTGTGATTCCTTGCTGTGCATGCTTGTGTGAACTCATTCTGCTCTGCATGCTTGTGTGAACTCATTCTGCGCTGCATGATTCCACCCACATTCTGCTGTATGTGCTCCGTCCCATGTCCCACAGAAAATGTTAGCAGAAGCTTCTAAGAAGGCGGGAGCAACGATCCAAGTGGAGCAGTTCTTACGGCTGGAGGTTGGGGAAGGCATTGAAAGGTATGGCTGGGTTCTAACCCCCATAGTATTGACTAGTATGACTAATTCTTATCCGTATAACATTGACTAGTAAGGTTGGTTCTTACCCTTGTTATGGACTAGTATAACTGGTTTTTAGCCGTTGCTGCATGGCATTACTGTTACACCTCCTCACAAGTGGCTGACTTGACTACCCATTTCTGTACTGCAATGATGCCTCGTGGCAGGGAGTCCAAGGACTTCGCATCTGAGGTGGCATCACAGGTGGCCTCGTCCTCGTGACAGCATTGCAGCAAAGCAAGACAGCAAGACAGCATGGCAGCATGGCAGCATGGCAGCATGGCAGCATGACAGCAAGATAGCATGGCAGCATGGCAGCATGGCAGCATGACAGCAAGACAGCATGGCAGCATGGCAGCATGACAGCAAGACAGCAAGACAGCTAGACAGCTACATGGCAGAATGAAGAATTTGTGGTGTCAGTGATGGGAATCTTCTTGTGCCACTTGTCATTCGAAAGTGTATTTTTTCATACTCTTCTTTCTCCATAGTTAATGATTCTCTTTGAAAGTGTATACACTTTCCACAATTGCGAATTCTGGATGTGCAACTAACTGTAACGCAACAAGGCGACTTGGAAGAGCCAATCACTCATCTCCAAGTACATAACAAGGGTTGGACATGTTAACGGGAATGGAGTGTTGGCCCCGCCCCCGCTTGGGCAACGCCAACGTCTTCGTCGGATGTACGGGAGAAGCAGCCGGCCGTTCACAGTGAGGGAGCTGCTTGACGGGCTTCGTCGAGCTGCAGGGAATCACTGTGGTGTTGCCGTCGACCAGGGAGGGGCCTGTCACGGGGCTGGAGCCATCGACCAGGGAGCTCGACAGCTGCAGCTGACTGGGCTGGTCGAAGGGTGAGCCTTCGACCAGGAGGAGCAGTTCGACGGGGAGGCCGACGGAGCAGTCCGTCGACCTGACATGTGAACGGCAGTCGACTAGGGGAGCTCGGCGACAGCAGCTGACAGTGCTGGTCGACGGAGGGGTCTGTCAACCAGGGAGTTGCTCGACGGGAGCTGTGGTCGACCAGAGGCACTTGGTGGTCGACCAGAGCACCTGTTGGTGTCCAGGTCGACCAGGTAACCTGCTCGGCGAGTTGTGCGGAGGCACGCGAATGTCGTCGAGGTCGCAGTGACGAAGGCGACTTCGGGCTGGTATCTCATAGTCGATGTGGCTCGTCAGGCGCAGACAACAGCCGATGGATGCACAACGGTGCAAGTCGGGCCAATCGTCTGCGCGCACCTGCGTACATGCGCACTGCTGTCCTCTACGGGTGCAATGCTGGACAGCCGCTCTGCCGCAGTGTTGGCACGCCGTCGACCTGCTGTGTTGGTAGGCCGCGTTTCTGCAGTGCTGGCGTGGCTCCTCTAGGCAACGCTGGCAGGCGGTCGACCATGCTGTGCTGGCGGTCGACCACGCTAGCTGTAGAGTTGCTAGGTGCCTGATGTAGTCATTTTCTGACATTGCTTGTTCAAACATACTGGAATCCCAACTTTGCTAGTGGAAACTCTTGCCGATATCTCCCGTGAATGTGCAAGTGCTAAGGGACTACGCAAAGCTACGATCACTCCTAGAGTTCGTGCCAACACCCCGCAGTCTAGCTTACGACTATTATAGAGTGACTCTCTGCATGGTGCGGTGAGAGTGGACGGGCCCGCATATTACCTTCAGATAGGAGCCGATTTTTGCACCTACTAAGTCGTTCGTAGGCCAGCAGCCGCGTTAGTCGCCATGGTTGACCCCGTTGTAGAAGCGAGCGTAGCGAACACCTTGGAGGCACGTTTGGCTGATGCGAGGAAACGCAATGAGAATGGCGAGTACGAGAAGGTCCCCTTGGCGATCGTCGAGTTGGGCATCCGGGCGCAGTGGGCAACGGAGCACCCTTCCCATCCTGCATCTCCTCGACCATTACGAAACGAAGGAGGCGTTGACGGCGAGGTCGACGGTGGTGCACGAGTCAGTGGCAGCGATGGCACAAAGAAGAGAGGGGTGATTAAGGTCGACGGTGGCATCGACGGGAGTCAGGTGCGAGTGCAGCAGTCGACGGCAGCCGCAGGCAGCTCGCGGGTCGAAGTCAATGGTCGGCATCGCTCTCCTCTACGAAGCGGTGGAGGGCTCTCGGCGACGACGTACGTGACGGCGGGCGGGATTGCACCGGCATATGGCTACTTCAAGTTTTCGCCGGGCACGATCACCGTCACACCACTACAAGGTCGACGGGACCTCATCACCTGGCGGGAGTCGATAGAACCACAGCTGGAGGTCGCCGGGTTGAAGGGCTTCGCCGACGGCACCGTGCCAATTCCGCCCAGGGACGATGTCGAGCTGCGCGGGGAGTTTTGTGCTGCTCAAATGCTCACCTTCATGATCATCTCGAGGTGCTGCTCGCCGGTGGTGCAGCTAGCGCTCAGGTCCTGTCGAGAGCGACTGGATGCTGGTCACCAAGCATGGCACTTCATCCTGTCGACGTACCAGGCGAAGGACGACCTGTACATCGGACAGCTGGAGGAGCAAATGACACACCTTCGGATGGGCGAGCAAGAGTCGGCGACGGACTACTGCAACCGCGCTCGACGGATCCTGGCTGAGATGCAGATGGCAGGCGTCGAATACTCAACGGTGTCTTATATCACCCACGTCGTCAAGGCCCTGCCGCGCAACTACAACCTCATGAAGAGGATGATGATTGTGCCCGGCACGCGTGAGTCCCTCGACGAGGACTCCCTCTCCAGCTACATCATTCAAGATGAGGCTCTGCAGGAGGCAGAACAGCCCACGGTGCTCCTTCCGTAGGCGAGCTACTGTTAAGATATGAGAATCAATGACTAGCAAATGAACAAAAAAGCAAGATATAAGTCAGCCCTAACCCTAGACCTAGGACAAAGTAAATGCACCTATACTAGAACAATACAAACTATATCATTATAGTTTGACACACCCCCATAGTCTAGGTGACGGTAGTCCTGCGGAAAGCAACACATATCTCAAGGTGGATCACGAAGTCACCACACAATCTGAGAGCAAGGGTCATAGGACCAGTCAGCAAGAGCAAGGAAAGTTCACAAGACCGGTCTGCAACAACAAGAATCAAGCAAGGGATGCAACTCAGGGTGGATCACAACGTCACCATACAGTCTGAGGGCAAACAAGGGGCCACAAGGCCAGTCCATATGCATCGATATAGATATATATAGAAAGAGATATACGGGTACAAGACAACACATCTCTACGCAAGCAAGTGAGAGCCTGTAGACACAAGGCCTAGCTGGGTGCAGAAGCGCTGGTGGGCACAAGGCGGCAACGCCTTGGTGAAGATATCTGCAGTGTTGGCCTCAGAGACCACACGTACCACGCGGGCCTGGCCACGCTGCTGAAACTCGCGGAGAAGGAAGTAACGAAGCTGGATGTGCTTCGCCTTCCCAACCAGTCGGGGCTCCTCGCACAATAGGACAGCAGACCTGTTGTCGGCGAACAAGACTGGGGGAGAGCGAGGTCGCTCACCAAGGTCGGTGAGGAGGAAAGACAGCCTGCGAAGCTCCTGGGCGGCCATGGCCGCAGTGTACACCTCTGCCTCACAGCTGGATCTAGAGACTGACGACGCCCGAGTCGACCTCCACGAAACAGCTCCGGTCCCAAGACTGAAGAAGTAACCCTGTGTAGACCGTAGCGATTCTGCGTCATCGGCCTACGACAAGTCCGAGTAACCTATAAGTGTAACTGGCTGCTTCCCTCCAAGGACAAGTCCCATGCCTGATGTACTTGCCACATACTTTGCCACCCTCTTAGCAGCGTACCAGTGGGAAGGTCGGTGTCTCCCAGGCGCAACAAAGCACGCAAGGACGCTAAGAGGGTAAGCTAGGTCTGGGCAAGTACAGGTCATCAGGTACATGAGACAACCCACCAGCTCAGGATATGGACTACTGGACTCAAATGGCTCGTCCAAAGGTGGAGCCGTAAGCCCATGATCCACAGCAAGATGGGTGGGCTGTACCTTGGAGAACGGAAAGCGAAACCGCGTGAGGATCTGCTCGACCATATGCGACTGCGTCAGCGTAATGGTGTGAGCTGCCCTGTCCCTGGTGATCTGCAGGCCAAGGTAGCGCTGCAGCTCACCAAGGTCAGTGCAAGTGTGTCTCCTCTGCAGTTCCTCCTTCACGGAGGCCAGTGCGCGTCGGTCGGGAGTGGCGAAGACCAGGTCGTCAACGTAGACCAGAACAAAGAACCGGGTCGAGCCACGGCGGACGAACAGCGATGGGTCCGCAAAGGACGGAAAGAAGTCAAGCGCTGCAAGAGTCATACGTAGCGTGTCGTGCCACTCGCGGGGAGCTTAGCGCAGGCCGTAGACCGGTTGACGCAGCTGCCACTGGGTCCCAGGAGGGAAAGAGCCAGTGAGGCCAGGCAAACGACGCAGCCAGATCTGCTCGTGTAGGCTCCCCTGAAGGAACGCAGTGGAGAATTCCGAGTGCAACTCGTAGTCGCGCTGTGCTGCAATATGCAGCAACACCCGAAGAGTGGTCATCTTCAGGGTGGGAGCGAATGTCTGAAAGAAATCTACCCCCTCTCGCTGACTAAAGCCTCTTGCCACGTAGCGCGCCTTGAAAGCGGATGGTGCTCCAGGCGGCCGCTTCACCTTGTAGAGCCACATGCCACTGACAACGTTCGCCCCAGGTGGTGGGACGGCGTCGACGTAGGTGCCTGTGGACCTATAAGATGCCATCTCTGCCTCCTCAGCTGCTTGTGAGAAAGATAGACGAAAGAATGAATGAACTAGAAATGAGATGGGTACATATAGGAAACACATAAGTGTTGTACCCTCTAAGAGCTACCCCACTACAGCCTAAATAGACCATAGTAGATAGAAGTTTGACACACCCCCATAGGCAAAGTGGGGGAGAACAAGAGGTCACAAGACCAGTCAAGAAAAGCAAAGCAAGCTCAGGGTGGATCACAAAGTCACCACACAGTCTGAGCACAAGCAAAGGGCCATAAGGCCAGTTCACATGCAGAGTTATATAAAGGAAAGCAAACAGTACAGTGAACACAACCTAGCAAGTGTAAGCATGCAGGTATAAGTATATAGAGTACAGTACAAGCAGAGTCAAGAAGTCAACAAGTGAGGCACAGTAGGGACAAGGCCTAACACAGTACAGAAACGCAGATGATCACAAGGCTGAAGTGCCTTGGTGAAAACATCAGCAGTGTTGGCCTGAGAGGCCACGTAAGCAA